GAAATTGAAATCTATATATATATAGAATCTTTTAATAATTCATATGAACAAAGTTTAAATTAATATTAATGTTTATGGATTAATACACCACTAATAAAACTATCTTATTGTACGAGTTATTACAAACTCACTTGGCTGAATATGCAGAGACAGATGGTGGCGGCTGTGATTGATTTAGGAAATATTATCTAAAAAGGAAAGCCCAAGGGCTCACATTTCATGCCGATTTGCATAAAGTGACCTACAAGACAATAAAACAGAGAGCAAGACACTAAAAGGGAGAAGGAGAAGGAGAGGAAGCTAAGATTCATAAGTAAAAATCCAAATTTTCATGTTTCTCAGGCTAAAAAACCTTGAAGCAAAGTGTTCGGCATTAAGGTTTGTACGAAGAGAGTTCATTTGGAGGTAAAATAGTATTTGGAAATTTTTTTTTATCTAATTTTGAATTGGTAACTTGGAAAATGTTTATGATACAAGAAATTTATATTTCATATATTGTATACAAAAGATCAATGTTTCATAATGATTGGTGTGAGGAAGCTTCTCCAAGTTTTAAACTCAAGTTCTTATCTGATACTCAATCTAATCCAAGAAACATGTATGTTGTAGAAAAATGATCATCAAGCTTTTGACACAGATTTAAGAGGCAGTTCTATAGGGATAGTAATAGGTTGGACTTGGTGTCTATTAAACTTGATGATATTAATTGACATGCTGGGTGACAACCATCTCATGATTATACCTGGTATGGGCCAGATACAATCTTAGATCTTATAATGGCTGAAGAACTTAGATATCCATATAAGTCAAATTCTAAAGCTATATAAGATATGACAAAGTAAATAAAATAAGCTATTGAATAATATGTTGCCATTGACTTGAAGTATAACCACTAGTACACTTAAATAACATAGGGCATATTTCTGTAATAATTTCATTAGTACAATTAAAATACTATTATATTACGTTCTTATTCAAGGAATTGATTTCATAATGATTATATATAATGCAACAAACTAGCCTATGATCATAACTTCAATTCTTATGCCAAATTTAAGTTTAGAATATTATGTTTTCTTTCCTTTGAGTATTTAAATTATATATTAAAATGGTATATCTTGTTGAGCTTCACAATCCACCATATAATTTTTCTAACTGTTGATACAGACAAATGGAAAATAAGATTGAGCTTAGGTGAAAATCAACTTTTAAATTACAACTTTATATTTTAACATTTAGTTTTGGCATAAGATATAAATCATGCTAAAGTTGAATTTACAGTTTTATGTTTTAATATTTAGTTTTGTCATAAGATCAAAATCATGTCATGTATATGATGAAAAATTAATGTTATGTATATGAACTCTAATATTTTTTAGAAGTTCTGTAATTATGTGAATGAAATGTCTTAAGATGCTTCTATGCAACAGAATTGTTTTATTTCAATGGATACATGGGAGTATCGGGTTATGTTGCATGTTTAGGGTTTGTTTGGCATAGTGTTTACGCTACGAAGCATCCTCCAGCCGTGCCGCAATGTTGTTTGCGGTTTGAGATTCCATTTTACAACAGCATTTCGCGAACTCATTTCTCATAGGTTTGGTCTTATTTCTCCCTCAACTCTCTTAGCATACCCTGCATCTCTAAACTCCCACAGATCCCTCAGGCTTTCAATTCATTTCCTTGTCGTTTGGATGTGTTCTTCATCTGAAAGTATAAAAAAAAAAAATAGTACAATTTTTCATTTTATTGTTGAGAACCCTCTCCAATAATAGTTTGGGATTAGGCTCATCTCATTCCTCTCTTCCTCCTCTTCTTTTATGTGATTTTATGGAGCTTTCCCAATGTCAGATCTAATCCCTTTGTGTTCTTACTGTTATGCTGAATGTTATGTCGTTCTTTACAATTTTTGGGCATTTTACGCACATCTTCTTCCACTTTAGTTAAATATTTGGTGATAGGAGGCTTGAGCATGATAAAGAAATGTTGTATCCCTTTATTTTTGTTTTGAGCGTTTTATTTTTATGTCAAATCCCTTCATTTCTCAAAGCAACAACACAAGGAAATGTGCCATTGTTTCAAAAAGTCTTTAACATGGTTATTAAATCCAATTTATTTCTTAACTGATGAAGATCAAACATTTTGCTCGACTCTTCTTTGTAGGAGTGAATCATTCCTTGTTTGTTATCACTGTTTGTATTAAGTTATACTTTATATGAGTGAATGACTCGTTGTTTATTCTTTATTTATGCTCTAAGGGTCTGTTGGCATGCATCTTATAATTGTGGTAAGATATTTGGAGAGTGATTTTTGTTTGATCTGCATGAATAGTTTGGTTGTACGTCGAGTTTGGATATCAGGAAGGAATTGGTTAACCATCATGATTCAGACTTTTGTTTTAGGATGGTAAGCATTTGATAATTGGAGTTGAGTGCCTAAATGTTTTCGCATTGTTCTCAAAAGGTGACTGTCGGCGCTAAAAAGTAAGGAAGAGGTTTGTTTGGGGGTCGCCCGTAAGAAGCTGCCGGCAGCCGAAATTGAAATCTCATTGCCCGCTTTGGAATGACGTTTTAATTTACGTGTGTATATATATATATATATATATATATATATATATATATATATATAAA